TTTTTATTTTTTTTTCTTTTTTAAAAAAAAATTATCGAGTCTCTCAACGTTGAGACTATAGGGAGTTACGACTGTACTTGAGAATTTTAAAATGTGTTTATCATCGATACCTCTGTCTTCGGATTGAATTGCAAGTCGCGAACTTTGCCACTCCACTCCGATCGAGTGAGTAATGATTGATGAACATTGATGTACTTTCTCGGAAGTAGTTGCATCTCGGACACAATATTGGATTCCATGGACCAAAGACGAATTGATCCATCGCGTGAACCTGAAGTTTGAATCATTTCAGATGGATGTCGAGTGTGCGTGGATTTCTCACGAAAGTTTCATACCTGACACTAAATGATCATCATCTATCCATGCAACCGAGAAGACTAGATCGTTGTGACCCTGCAGGGAAAAGAGACCGATGAGCCTCCTTTTAAAGATGATCGTTACAACGCGCGAAGAAGGAGAGCACTTACCGAGAACACGGCAACCGGTTCGAAGGAAGGCAACTCGTATATTGTCACTTGGATAGGATTGCCCGCTCCAACAGCCAAAAGTGTTCTGGAGGGGTTGACCGCAATATTTCGAATCCCGGAACAATTATTATTCTCTTGCGTTTGATTGTTTGTTTCGCCGGTGACCAACGGAATTTCAAATCTTTTATTTGTTTCTATGTTAAGAATCAAAAGCTGGGAATCAAAAATTGTCGAAGTATGATTAGATCATCATTGCCTGCGATCGCGCATATCCCGTATTCGCATCCACACATTCCACCGACCTTGTTGCATTTTGTCCCCAAAACAATCTCGTTTTGCGATATCCAGTGTGAAGAAAAAATCTTGTCATGATTTTCCAAGTCTATTTGTGATTCCTTGAGTAAGTATGGCAATTTGCCGGACACAAAACTCGAATAGCCTTGAGGACGCCTGAGCGCAATAGTAGCACGAAACAATGTTTGACGAAATTTAAATCTTGCATGATAATTAGGAGAGCAAATGCACGACTGCTCTAAAATAAAAGCGACTCACATTGATCTATTTAGTCCTAGTTCTTTTTTGTACAAAAATTCGTTCACGTTAATCTGCGGCTCATCGGGGAAGCTGACCATCCAAATTTAAATTTAAATCAGATCGATCGAGTTTAGCTAATGCGTTTGTAAATTTTCGCAAAATTATCCCGGCCATCATTTACCTCCATGGTTTTGTTTCCGGCTGCTTGGAAAAGAATGACAATTTTAGAATTGCCATTTTATTGTATCGAACGTTTCTCAGAAGGGCTCCTAAAGAGATCTCCAGATTTGAATATTACTACTACTTTCAGAGATTAAAAGACTTTTCGCATAAACTTGTAAAGACCATACACTTTTTTAGGATATTCTTTGTGAAGTAATGTGTATATGTTATGCTCCTTGCTCTGGACTCTTGGAAATTGTGTGAACAAAGAGTAGCGATCGGTCCCAAAGGAAGTGGAGGTTTTTTTGTGGATGATGGTTTGAACGACTAAGGGTAGGAATAAAATTTATTTACTAATATATATTTTTTTTTTTGCACAGCCAAAAACTTGACTGGTATAGGCAAAACGAATGTGATGATATATCCGTGCTACGGACGGCTTTTTTAAAAAACAAGTCGAAAATGTGAAAAAAAAAAAAAAGAAAGAAAGAAAGAAACCGACTCGCTTCGCTAAATGAAAAAAAACTTGGTGCCCTCTGAATTACCAAATATGCGATCAAATATTAATTAAGTTAAGCAAATTAAAAAAAATGCTATGCAGGAGTACAGAAAAGTCCATTTATACGCAT